CCAGCTTCTCTTTTCCAGGCTGACCAACCCCAATGTTCTCAGCCTGTCTCCATACAGGAGGTGCTCCAGCCCCTGATCATCCTCGTGGCCTCTTCTGGATTTGCTCCAACAGCATCATGTCCTTATGTTGGGGACACCAGCACTGCACCCAGTGCTGCAAGTGGGGTCTCCCCAGAGCACAGCAGAGGGGCAGGATCCCCTCCCTGACCTGTTGCTCATGCTCTGAGGGTGCAGCTCAGCACACGGGGGCGTTCTGGGCTCAAGCACACACTGAAATGACTTATGTTCAGTATCTCCTCACCCAGCATCCCCAAGTCCTTCTCCTCAGGCTGCTCTGAATCACTTCTCTGCCCAACCTGTGTCTGTCCCTGGGATTGCTCTGACCCAGGGGCAGGACCTTGCACTTGGCTTGGTTGAACCTCATGAGGTTGCCAGTGTCCCACCTCTCAAGTGTGCCCAGGTCACTCTGGATCCCATCACTTCCCTCCCATGTGCTGACTGCATCCCAGTCCTCCTATTCTGCCCAACAGAGCAGCTACTTGAGCCATGGCAGCTGCTATCCCCACGTAGTCCCTGCCCTTAAGCTCCTCACTGAGCAGCTTCACCTACTTGCCCACAGAACAAGCACCAGGGAAGTCTGTAAGTGTTCAACCACGTGGGGCTTCCAGCTCTGTCACCATGTGAAGACCCAGAAAGCCTGACAGGACTTTCACCAGGCTCCCCAAAGAGTCTCTCCCTGCCACCATCTGCTCTGCCACAGCCCCAGGTGTGTGCACAGCACACGATGTTAAAGCCAAGGACAGAGCAGTGCATGAGGCTACAACAGGGAGGGACAGAAACACCACTCCAGAGCATGTGTCCTACACCTTGCCCAAGACTTCCTGGGACAGGGACACAACTGAGAGCCTGGCAGCTACCCCAGCACAGCCACCAGGAAGAATGTGCAAAGGACACCAACCCCCCCATCCACCCTCAGCACAGACTGACCCAGAACACCCCAAAACCTGCAAGCAAAGTTTCTCACCGACCTCTGCCACTCCTGTTGTGGTCTGAAGTGGTATTTCAAGAGGCACTCTCCTCGCACAAGGGGCACGCTACACACGGCCTCTTCTTCCTGCAGGGAGAAGAGTGACATTAAACACGTCCTTTGCTCAGAGGCATGAAAAACAAGCAAGCAGGGCCTGGCCTACCTTGCTCTGGTAGGTGCTGAGCAGAGGGAAGATCTCAGGGTGGATGAGGTTGAGCTGAGTTTGGATCTTGTAGCTGCGCGGGTTGTGCACGGCAGAGGAGTTCTCGTTGAGCACCAAGTGCTGAGTTCCAGCTCCAAATCTGCAAGAGTACGATAAAGGGCACAACAGCTTCAGCCCCACATTAGAGTTGGGCATATATGTGCATCTGAGCCATTAGCTGAGACCCGTCTGAGCCAGCAGAGCCCTAATGCCAGCCAACAGCTCCTTCTGCTCTGGGAGAGACAGTGGCACCATAAGAACATGCTGCTGCCCATCAGTGACACTCCAGGAACGAGCAGCTCACTCACCTCTGCAGCCACTGCTGGTAGCGACTGTCTCGAAGCACAGCCTCGGGGGTCATGTGAATAACCAAGGCCACCTGATGCTCAGGGTGTCCCTCCTGGTACCTGGGGCACGTTCAAATACAGAGAGAGCTCCTGAGCTTCAGGCCTCCATCACCTCGGCCTCCCCTCTCCCATGTGGGTGCTATCAGAGATGCCCCCTGCAGCAGGCAGAGCACAGGAGGCTCAAGGCTCCACCAGGCTTAAGCCTGCCTTTTGCTGACACCTGCTCTCTGCCCCCAGGGCAGTTCCTCTCCTCCAAGAGCAACATCTGCAGAGCCTTTCAGAAGCCTGATAGGCTTCTGCACAAGCCCTGCAGAGATGCTACGTGCAGCCCAGGCTTCTACTGCACAGGGAAGCAGCAGTCTCTACATTGCTCCCTTCCATTGTCCTTCTTTGGAGGCTCCTGAGGGAAGAGCAGCCTGTGACTGTGACAGAAGTCCACAGGTCCTGCACAGCCCTTCCTTTCCTAAAAGGCTTAACACACCACCAGGCCTTTCCTGTATCTCTACCTCCTTAACAGTGCCAAAGAGCTCAGACATGAGCCCAAGAACCACCAGAAGAACTTGTCTTGGCACAGATGTCCCCCCCAGCGCCACCCCACTACCTTCGGAAGGTCTCATTGTCACAGACAGCATCCACAAAGCCCTCATGGGGACACTCCAGCACGATGAACACTGGGCCAGGGTCAACAGGGGTGCACAGTTCTTCAGGAAAGAGCTGAAGGCAGATACACACAGACCACATCACCATCAAACTAGACACACACCTTCCTGCATCAGTGTGTGTGACTCCAGAGAGGTGGTGGATGCCCCATCCCTGGACACATTCCAGGCCAGGCTGGATGTGGTTTGGGCAATCTGATCTAGCTGAAGATGTCCCTGCTCTTTGCAAGACGGGTTGGGCTGGATGAGCTTTGGAGGTCCCTTCCAACCCAAAGCATCCCATATTTCTGTGGGGAGCTGTTCCACCAGCCCCAGCAGGCAGGTCCCAATGCTCAGCAAACCCAACCAGTGCAGTTCCTGTTCCCTTTCTGCTCTCACTACACAAGTTTGCATTTTGCTGTGTGACAACAAATCCCAACCCTGGTCTTAGAACAAATCCCAACATAATGTAAGGAAGGGAATTTCAGCATTTGCCAGGTTCCCACAACAGATTCAGATGGGAGCAAGAGCATGATAAAAAAAAAAAATAAAGGCTTTGTGGAACTCTAATGACACAAACACACATCAGTCACATCTCTCAGGTTAGGATCTTCACTTACAGACCACCTGTGACATGGCCAGAGCTGGCTCTGCCTTTCACTTCACACTAGAGTTTGAGAGACGAAGACCCTGCACACAGGAGCCACTGATGATCTTTTGGTGTTAAGAGGAGCAACCAGAGCAAGGAGGGAGTGACAGCCCCCCAGGCATTCACCCCATGCAGGGATTAACTCCACCAGTGCACTCCTAGACCTGCATCAGCTTTGGGCAGGGCAGAGAAGCAGCTCTGACAATCAGCAGCCACACAGCCATAGGCACAAGTGAATTCATTTCAGAGCACACCTCCCTCATCACACCCTGCACAGCCCCACTCGTGCTCCAGACAGGATCCACATTCAGGGAGAACAGGGACTGGTCACTCACCAGCATCCACTCAAAGCTCCAAACCAACAAAACCCATGCCAAGCAGAGGGGAGAGGGAACAGGCAACCAGCATCCACCAGGTGGCAAAGCCAAGGCACAAAGCACAGCTGCATCTTACCTCTCTGCCTTCAAATGTGATGCTCTCCCCATTCTTGAGAGCTGTGATTATGGGAAGAATGGCTGGAGTTCCCCTGAAACAAAGGCCATGGAAATACTCAGCTTGCCAGCATCAACGTGCCTGGGATTGCTCCATCACCCAGCTGGGACCCTGTACTCACACTGGCAGACCCATCTCCTGCGCTTTATCTGCCAGGAATTTTCCCTTCTTGGGGTGAATCTGCAAGAAAGAAATGAAGAATTACCAACCAGATAAGAGGGACAGGAAACAAGATCCACAGACTTCCACTGGTCTCATTTTCCCTCCAAGAAAGACTCTTTTGTTCCCAAGATGCTGCTGCTGCTTCTTGCTCCCTTCCTTAGCCAAGGGAGCAGGACACTTCCCCACTGTAAGCGCTAAGCAAGAATGGAAGCTGTACACTCTTAGTTGGCTGCCCTATAAAGAACATTTCTCAAATATGCCTCCAGCTTTCACACATTCCTCCTCATGCTCCAGCCACTCTGAAGAGCAGCATCACAAAATAGCTTCAATGCCCTGCTTGAAAACACCATCTCCAGTTAAATTCATTTAGCAAGATGAAATGTTCTCCTGACATTAGGAAGCATGTCTTAACAGAGAGGGTGGAAAACCCTGGCTCAGGCTTCCCAGCGAGGTGGTTAATGCTCCAAGCCTGTCAGTGTTTAAGAAGGGTTTGGATAATGCCCTTCATAACATGCTTGAACAGGTCAGGTAGTTGGAAAAGGTCATTGCTGTAGGTCCCTTCCAACTGAAATACTCTCTTCTCTCCTACATTGATTTTGAGATCTTCATGTCCAAGCTTACTTTACAAAGGAAGGCCATGACCAGGTCGGGGTGCCTGCTTGCACACTTCTGTTCAGCACCTGTAAGAGAGAGCAACAGACTACTCACAATCATTACTATCATTTTTCCTTAAAGCCAAAATGGGTCCATGTTTGCTCAAGCACCAGCAGGAGCAACATCATCCAGCCCAGCAGCAGAACGCTTAAAGAGCCCAAGGGCAGAAAGCTCACAGCTTCTGCTGGGAGAAACCAAACCAAAGCCCAAGACTGACAAGTAGTTAATCCAAACAGCCCCTTGTAATTAAATGTCACAGGCTGAAGCACCCACTCCAGCCAGGGGCAAACTACTACAGGGACTAATCCCACCCCAAGCAGGAACTGTGTCCTATTTCTAGCCTTATTAGTTCTGTGTCAACTTCCAAAGTGCCAGAACACACTCTGCTCCTTCAGCTGAGCTTCTCTATGGACCTTACTTCCAGACAGCAAGCACCTTGGAGGCCAAATACATCTCCTTAACTTGGCCTTCTTTCATCAAAATCTAAAAGGAAATGCCATTTCTTTTTCACCTGTTTTCTTCGGGCTTTCTTTTTCCTTGCCCTTCTCCAAGTTTTGCTGTGCAGCTCCTGGGGATCCAGGCCCTGCATCCCCTTTAGGGCTATTTCCACCTTGGGTTGATGCTCCAGGACTCTGAGGCAACGTTCTTTCAGCAGCTTGTGGTTTTCCTGTCCCAAGTCCAATAAAACCAGACAAAAAAATCACTCAATCAAAAGGGAAAGATATGGAAGAGGGAATGCTACTCATGCTTTTCTTGAGAGTTATGTCTAAACTGCACCAGAACACAAAGCTCGTCCCCCCAGCCTGACTTGTGCTTGCATACTCCAGTCACCTATTTCAAGAGCCATCCACCATCCAAGTCCTTCAGTCTGTCAGAATGGCTCATCTCTGTCAAGTCTGTGCCTGTACTATGGGAGTCACAGCTCCCAGCAGTAAGAGACCACAGGAAGGTGAATGCTGTGACAGTTCAAACTCATTCTACACACCCACATTCTACACCTCCAAGGCCCTGACTCAGCAGGTCTTGCTTCTTTGAAAGAGATCCTCCTCCTGAGAAACACGTGCACATTAATAGACATCTTCTTACTCAGGCTTGCTACCAGAAGCCACTCCTTTCGCCACCTTGAGCATGGTTATTGAACAAGTGCTTCTCCTGTGCTACTACAGCCTCACGTGCTCACCTGCAAGAGGTATCTGGTGGACTGTCATCGTCTCATCCTTATACTCAGGCTCTGTGTGCAACTGCACAGCTGGAAAGAGATCAGGATCTGACATTAACAGGCTCAGAAGGAGATTTCAATCAGGAAAATCTCTTGTCTCTTTCTTAAACCAAACCTGCTGAATGTCCCCCCCCCACTTCCCCTTCTCTGCCCCACTGTAAAGATCAATGAGTAATTAGTTCTTAAAAGCCCATCATCCACAAGCAGCAGTCCCCGATGCCATGGGAAGGTATTTCACTGTCAGATTCTGCAAGCAAATTGCCTTCACAGTGGTTTAAAACTTAATGCTGTCTAATAGGCCAACAGACTGGCCATGGCCTACCAGAAACAGAGCTGGAAACACTCTAGTTATGGATTTGAAGAGTGTGTCAGAGCAAAACAAAGGCTTAAAACTTTCTCTGCGTGGATCTAAACCAGAGGCATCTATTCTGAGGTTGTGACTGTTCAATGCAACCTCAGCTACAGCTGAAACAAAAGAGTTCCAAGTTCACATTCACTAAACATCACTGCCCCACGTACCTAAATCCATCCTTTTTAAGGGCCCAGGGAAGAGACGAATCGCTTTCAAGTAGTTTTGCTGGAAAAGACAGAGTGTATCAGCTCCTTCCAGTGAAGTCAAGAGCATGTCAGGCAAAACCTGGGCAGCACACAGCCAGCCAGAGAGCACTGGGCAGGTGTCCCAGCCTCCCATAGGCACGGCTTTAACACTAGAAGGGTTCCCTTCTGCAAGCTTCCCCACGTACCAGCTTTGGTGGCCCTAGGAAAACACATCTTTGAAGCCCCATAGCCTTTAATGTGAGAATCATGCCTAAAAGAAAGGGAGAAACAGCTTTGTCACAGCCCTGTAAGCGTTGGTAGATACAGAAGAAAGATCCCTCAGGGAGTGCTGGGTCTCTCTGGGAAGGCTGGAATTGAACTGGGATCCAAATTCATTTTCCCCTCAGCTTTGTGGCAGTTTCAACAAGTCACTTATCAGCAGATAAGGAAAAGATTTACAGACCTTGACAGTCACAATTTGGAGCAAGTTACCTGCACAGACTGTCAATGTGCTCCTTCCTTGGAGATTTCTAGTTTTAATAAATCCCAGGCTGGTTTGGGGTGGAAGGACCTTAAAGCTCATCCAGATCCAACCCGGCACCCCTTCCACTAGAACACATTGCCCAAACCCACATCCAGCCTGGCCTTGACTATCTCCAGAGATGGGGCATTCACCACCTCTCTGGGCAACCGGTGCCAGTGTTTTATCACCCTCAGTGTAAAGCTCAGCCTGAATCTCCCTCCTTTCACCACATCACAACAGGCCCCGCTAAAAAGTCTCTCCACATCTTTCTCACAGGCCCCTTTTAAGAACTGAAAGGCCACAATAAGGTCTCCCTGGAGCCTTCCCGGGCTGAACCAACCCAGCTCCCTCCGCCCTTCCTCACAGGAGGGGTGCCCCAGCCTCTGCCCATGGCTGAGGTCCTTCTCTGGCCCCTCTCCGACAGGTCTCCGTCTTTCCCGTGCCGAGCACTCGGGGCTGGTGGCAGGACTGCAGGCGGGGGCTCACCAGCGCACAGCAGCGGCACAAGCGGTGTTGGCCGCGGGCACGC